AGGTGATGACTGCGTGGCCATTAACGGAGGTTCCTACATGAACATTAGTGGCATCTTCTGCGGACCTGGTCATGGCATAAGGTGATCTCACATCATAATCCTTCTTTTCATTCATTAAAAAGAAAATATATATATATATATATATATATATATCCATGCTTGGAAGCTATGAAATTTAAATGTGTTCAATAAATTATCTATGAAAGTCTTTGTGATATTTGCTTGTATGAACATATATATTTAGCATTGGTAGCCTGGGAAGTGGTGGAAGCTACGGCGCAGTGGAAGAAGTCCATGTCAGAAATTGCACCTTCACCGGATCTTCAAATGGAGCAAGAATCAAGACTTGGGAGGTAAAACACACATACACCAGAAATGAGTAAAATAAAAAGATTTCTAACTGCATCACAACGATGATTCAGTATTAAAAAGATAAGAAGTTAAAATCTAATCTGCTCAGATTAGATTAGACTCTCTCTGCTGATAAGCCACTAAGACCGAAGGTTTAACGTGAACTTTAAAAAATAATCCCCAAAATCTTTAAGATAAATATGTGGGCATCAGCTGTGTCTTTTCCAAAAAAAGAGTTTGGAAATTCTAATTTAAAAAAGAAAAATTTAGAGAGAAGCTCAAGAAAAGAATTTAAGAAAAGTTCACTTAATCATGTTCAAAACTAACTATAAGCACATGAAGTTTAGAAAGAAATTTACAAGAGGATTGAGAACACACACACACACAGGAAGAAAGACCCATTAATCATTTAGATTCTGTTTTGTAATCTTATTTCTCACCTTTTCTCTGATTGAATTCCTTAATCTACTTAATCCAAACAATGTTTACTTAATTATTAACATTTTCATTCAATCATGTTCATAACCAGGGAGGATTTGGGTATGTTAGAAAAGTCACATTTGAGGACATAATACTGGAAGATGTTCAGTACCCAGTGCTCATTGACCAACACTACACTGCTTATACTGCAGCTGACAACAAAAAGGCTATAAAAATCAGTGACATTACATATAGGAATTTCCGAGGAACTTCAACTTTAGAGGAAGCAGTCAAATTGATGTGTGATAATGCCGTAGGATGCACCAACCTTCTGTTGGACGAGATCAAAATTACATCTTCTGATCCTAAAATGAAGACCAAGGCCACCTGCTTGAACGCTCATGGCAAAAGTTCTGCCTCCAACATTCCCCAAGTTTCATGCCTTCTAAAGTGACCCGCTCCTTTAAGGCTCATTTTGAACTTAATTTCTTTAGAACATAGAAATTGTAGGCCATTTTGCTGATGAATAGTAAGAGCTTGGAGCCTTAACTCTTAAAGATATCACTCCTGTTTGCCAGCAGATTAGCAGCCACCTAAACCCAGTCACATGCGCCTCTGTCAGTCATGAGTCATAACATAAGGAAATTGCATTTGAAAAAGCCTATGACAGATATAACAATTTTCAGCAAATGATGATTCAGATAGGACGACCAATCCTGATCTATCTTATGAAACAAACCATTAAGATATGACCGAGAGAGGCACGTGAAATACACGTACCTTTTAGACCAAATTCATTAATGTTTACGCTAAATAAATTACCTTGCAGTATCCTTTCATCACTGATGTCCCTGCCTTTCATTTTGCCCTTTGAACCAGGTGCAAGAACTTCACCAGTTCCAGAATCTATAGTTTTGAACTCCCCACGTTGAAAAATCCAATAACCTTCAAAATATTGCATTTATAACATTTCAGATAAAAGAACGACTCTTTGCAGGAGTAAATATTGTTAAGAAAAAAAACTTTAGCCTGAATCAAAGATTACGGTCATTGTAATTTCAATTTTCTAGAAACAGACACGAGAAAGGACTTTTTCAAAAGCAATCAAATTGAGTGCCACATGTTAACATGCTGCTTCTGGTCACTTTGCCTCACCTCCATACAAAAAATTAGCCAAAAAACTTATCAAGTCATTTGGAAGAATTAGAACTCTCAAAATGGCAAGCAGTTCAGTGATTATGTGCAAAGTTAATTGGAAACGTCAAACATGCCTTTTTTTTCTAAGTTTAGGCCCCAATGAAAACCATCAATCGCAAACTTAAAGCTAAATGACATCGGCAAGACAAGTTACATAAAAATGTAACTGTTAAAGCACAACAATCATAGTAGAAAGAGAAGCAGGGTGTTCAACTATTTGCATGTGGGCCACGAACTATAAGAAGAATTCACTAAGACAAAAGAAGAATACCAAACAAAAGGATCCCCGATCTTTCCTTACATTATTGCCTTCTTAAGGTGAAGTACAACAGAAATTGTTCTAACAAGATGCACCACATATCAGTAAACTTAGAAAAACAATGTTTTTGAAAGAGATGAATATCAGTACAAGATAGATCTGATGAAATCGCGCACCGTGACTCTTGTTTCGCATGAGTGCTCCTCTTCGAGACGCGAACAAGGAGAGGTGATGTCGAAGCCTCTGTAACAATACGGGCATGAGGAAGAGGGTCGGACCTCGTCGCCCACATCGAAATCATCGATTCCCATCCGATCAGAGAACCCCAAAATACAAGAAATAAGATTTGTTTCAAAAGCGAAAAGAGTGAGACACATCACGAATTGAAATCCATACGAACTCAATTGCGAATTCTCAGTCTGACGCCGAATCACATAATGCGGTTGCCGTTTGGTCGCGGCAAGGCGCGAGGTCACGTATTAAACTTATTAAAAATATATTGAATCAATATTTCAAATATACACACATTGCTGGTCAAAAATATATACACACACACGCTGGGAAAAAAAAAAAAAAGAGAGGAAGAATTGCAGTTAAGTCTCAAAAAAAGACACAATTACTAAAAAATCTTAATAACAACCTGAACAATCTGTAATAACAAATTTTAAAGTAGAGAATGACAACCTTTAATATTTGTTTTGTAATTTTTTTCTTACAACCTCATTATAATTCTCCACAAAAAAACATATATATACGCACGGCTAGAATACAACACCTAAGATTTTTGCTCAAAAAAAAAAAAGAAGAATACAACACCTAAGAGTAAGATATTTAATTACCTGAAAATCTATTAATAATTTAAGAGTTTGCAATAAAAAAACTCCAGAAAAATTATAACACGTCTAAACTCTTCACTTATTGTTAAGATTTTTTTATAATTAAATTCCTTCAAATCTTATAATAGTTCTCCCATAGATGCATCCCGACCCCGACCGGAATTGATCATGACCAACATTCTAGTTTGACTAAAATTAATTGGAGGTGATCATATTAATCATATGGATGCGTTTCACTGACTTAGAACATTAGAGATGGTGGAGTCAAATAGAACAATAAATTAATCTATTTATTATGAATTAGGCCATGTAGTTTATTTTGTTTGAATTAGTCTTTTATAGTTTGATTAATTATAGGCATTAGCCGTTGACCATAAAAACAATTAATTTTAGTTTATAAATTTAATGAATTTTTGTGCAATTTTCTTTAATTTGTATATGATTGTTTTAACACCGTTTTAACATCTATGCATTTTCTATAAATGAATATAAATAATTTAAATTAAAATTATCAGATCATATAATAAAGGTAAATTCAAATAAAATAAATTATATCAATCTGATTTATGACTGAGATGAACTGTGAGGACTTGTGAATTAGTGTTCTCTCTGTTTTTCTTACATAATTTTCTTAAATTTATAGTATGATATCATATAAAATCTCAATTCAATTTTTGCATGTTGCATTCAACATGCTTAGATTTAGGCGCACTAGGATTTTTCACGTGCATGTATCATATACACATGCAAAGAAGAACGATAAAATTTATAAGAAATAGAAAATTGGGACTAAATTCCTGCACTTAATCAATATCATTAATAATATTACTTTTTTATTTTCATTCTTGAATTAAAACGTAAAAATGTTTGACTTGTAAATACATTAATTAAAATCAAAGCTAATACGGCAGAATCTTAAATGCCATAATTGAGAGTGAAAGTGTTTGCCTGTTTGGCCTTTGAATGTGATAATATTATCCATAAATATATAGAAAAATAAATAGATGCTTTTATAATTCCATTGGCCATTGTATTACAACATCTATAAATATAGAACTTCTGATCTTTAATATAAAATTCAATTGACTAATTTAAAAAGATTAAGTAAATTACTAAATTATTTAATTATAGTATGTGTTATATGATCTCTGTAAAAATTTATGTGAATTATTAGATTATATATTAATTTATAAACGAGGTAAATTAGTTTACAAGAAAACGATAAATATATATAAATAATTTAAAATAATTTTTTAATTTTTTTAAATTAGTTAATTGGATCTTATAATAATGACGAAAGATAGTATTGAACTAAATAAATATCTCTATTCTAGTGCAACATTTATTCATTTAGTTATTTATTTTGCAAGATGATAGTCGATCAATATATTTCACACTAGTACTATGGATTTATGACAGATATACTGTCCAGTTTATTTAAATTTTTATTATGCGTACAAATTTTGGAACGAGTATAATGTAGGGACCTTTTTTTTTCTTTTCTAGTTATACGCATAACAAACAAAAGGATAGGCAAATAGTAAATATATAACATATAATCGCTAATTATTTATTTAATTTTCGAAGTATAGAAGGACAACATATTTATGATTAATAAATACATTCAACTAGCGTACATGGTTGAATTATGAATTTTGCATTCGAATGTGTAAAACATCCATTTTAATGAATTAAACTAATATATATACATATATTTGGGTTTAATAATATGAGAAATCATCGAAAATCGAAAAATATCCCCAAAAAATTAATTATATGTGTGTTCCTCCGCGCTATATAAACCCAGGTGGTTCTCTTACTTGACCACACAAACAAATCATGCAAGTAAAATTATATCATTCTGTTAGCTTTCTCCTTTCTACACTTTGATTGTTGTTCTCTTTTTGCGGTAACAAGTCGTGTGTGTTCAGTTCTAAATGAACTTGCAAGGCTACTTTGCTATCTTCTTGTTGTTGTGTTTTGTTGCTTCACAAGCTAATCCTACTTTTGATGTCCTCAAGTATGGTGCTTCAGGGAATGGACAAACTGATGATTCACAAGTAAGTATGCAAATATTACCTTTTTTTTTATTTGGCATTGAATCTACACTACAAGTATAAGTCTAAAAAAAGAATTTGTCCTAAAAGATTGGCCTAGTGGGAGAATTCTTTTAAACTTATAAACTCCACTTTTCTTTTAAAACTCTTTGACACTACAAAAAAAAATTGACTTTCATCAGCGACATAGTATAAAAGTCGTTTGCTATAGTAATTGTAGCTGAATTTTTAGTGGTGACAAAAAAAGTCGCTGCTAGAAGACGTTTTCAATGGCAACCAATTGTCACTGCCAAAAGTGACTTTCCGCCAAAAGTCATGCCGAAGAAAAATGGCTTCACTGACGCCATGTTATCGCCATGTCACTATCTTGCTGTCACGTCATCGTTCAAATATTTTTAACTTAAATGTGTTTTCTTCAAGGTTTGAACTCGTGGTACTGATTATTATTATAAAATCAAATATATATTATCATATTATACTTTCAACGACGATATTAGAAAGTCACCGTTTACAGTTTGACCTTCAGCAGTAACTTTCTAAAGTCGCCACTAAAAGTCTGAGGCAGAATGAAGACCCCAAAGACTTTTAGTGGCGACACTATAGTTGCCACTGAAAGTATGCTTTTCAATAGCAATAAAAAAAATGTCGCTATTGAAAGTGAGTCATTCAGCAATGAATTTAGGATTTCATCATTGAATGTATGCCTTGCAAAGACATTCAGCAACGACAAAAAATGTCGCCACTAAAGGTCTCACATTCAATGGCGACTTTTTGTATCGCCACTAAAAGACACTTTTAGTGGCTACTTTCAACGGATGTCGAAAGTCATACTTTCAGTGGTAACTTTTTAATATCATTGCTGAAAGTTAACTTTCAACAGTGACTTTTTTTGTTACCGTTAAAAGTCGTCACCGAAAGTTTTTTATTTTTAGTGTGATATGAAACTTATGACAATTTAAATATTGTTGTTCATTATTTTGATATTGAATTGTAGCTCATTTTCAAATTTCGTGGAGTGAATGAGAATATACTTCTCTAATCCTAGGCAGAGAGAGAATATTTAGCTTGATCTTATCTATAATCCACATCATTAAATTTTTAACATAAATATATTATTTTATCATTTATTTATTATTATGCGGTATTATTTTGTTGGAAAGTGTATATATTAGATTTGAAAGTTGTTAAATTTTAATATAGAGTTAATGAAACTTAAAGTTTTCATAGTTCCGATCAAACATATAAAAAATACTTATAAAAAGAATTAAATGGTTAAAAATTAGTAAAAAAATTTTGGTCGTTAGCTTGATTAATTAATTGTATCCTATTGGGTAATTAATTTTGGCGCGTTTGGGAATTTGTGGAAAGGCTTTTGTAAAAGCATGGAAAGATGTTTGTAAAGCAAAAAAGGGCTATCCGACCCTTTTGGTGCTCAAGGGAAGAACCTTTGTGTTGCAACCTATGGTTTTCCAAGGTCCTTGTAAGTCTCCATCTATTAATTTTAAGGTAAGTCCATTCAGTAATTAAATTTTTCTCTAGTTCTACTTCTTGTAGTCACGTGTCTCTTTACTTTGATGAACTATATGATTAATAAATGTGCAAACCCTACACATTTTTTGAAATGTGTACAAAATTTGCAGACACTTCTCATCTCGAAAAAAAATTATTCATATTTAAAACAGGAATAATATTTGTATTCATAAGATTAAAATATACCACCTTCTATTTTTAATATAAAATTCACTTTGTGACGCTGCAAAGTGGATATTATATTAAAGATTGGAGATAATAATACTCTAGTTCTCATTATAAGACATTCTTCTCTGGTTTTAAATATAAGACTCTTATACTAGTGTGTACAAGGATCTTATATTTAGGACCGGAAGAGTATTTTAGAAGGAATGGGTAGTCCTTATATAAGTTAATTATCTAGTGAGGTATTAATCACCTTTTTTTGACATACGGCGAACTATAAGGGCAGATTAAAGGAACTATATATTTTTTTAATTCCTAACATTTTGTTATATATATTTTTTTATTATTGATTATGATTGTGAGTAATTGGTTCAGGCTATATCATTTCATGCGTGTAAGGGCCTTACAATTAATATGGTGAATATGATAAACACCCCACGAGGTCATGTGTCCTTGAATGGTTGCAATGGCTCTGTTGTCTCTAACATCCACCTCCGTGCTCCTAAAGATAGCCCAAACACCGACGGCCTTGGAATCTCCGGGTCATCCCATGTTACCATCCGAGATTCTACCATGGAAGTTGGTAATTAACTAACAAATCACTTATCTTAACTCAGAAAACTTGACTTATTTTCATTTACAAATCAGTATACCATCGTTGGTTCTTAATATAACAATTACTTAACTAATTTAGATAGATTAATGAAGCTAGATAATATAAATTCAAATGCACAGGAGAGGAACTTCCCACTTTAAAAAAACAGAGTCGCTTCCACTTACCCTAGTCGTACTTCATTCTCATTTGGGTCTTCTGATCATTCATATGCAATATGCATCATTCTGTTCCACTTTTGCTGAAGGTGATGACTGCCTGACCATTGACGGAGGCTCCTACATGAATATTAGTGGCATCTTCTGCGGACCTGGTCATGGCATAAGGTGATCTTACATCATAATCCTACTTTTCATTCATTAATAAATATATATATATCCATACAAGAAATTTACATGTGTTAATCAAATAATCCATAAAAGTCTTTGTGGTGTGTGTTGGTGAATATACATGTCCAGCATTGGAAGCCTGGGAATTGGTGGAACCTATGGTGCAGTGGAAGAGGTCCATGTCAGAAATTGCACCTTCATCAGATCTTCAAATGGAGCAAGGATCAAGACTTGGGAGGTAAATCACACATACACCAAAACAGAATAAAATAAAATGATTTTAAACTGCATACTTCATCATAACAGTGATGATTCAGCAATAAAAAGATAAGAAGTTAAACCGTAACTTGGATTAGATTAGACTGTCTCTATGCTGATAAGCAATTAAGACCAAAGCTTTCAGCTTGAAATTTCAAACGTAATCCCAACCTATATATGTGGGAACCACCTAAATAAAAGAACTTAAAGAAAATTTTACCTAATCACGTTCAAAAGTAACCATAAGCACATGAAGTTTAGAAATAAATTTGCAAGAGTTGAAAATATACACACATATACTAGGAAAATTTGGGGTTCATTTTGAAATTAATTTTATTAGAATAGAAATTGTAAGCTGTGTTGCCGAAGAATAGTAACAACTTGGAGCCTTGACTCTTAAAGATGTCACTCCTGTTTACCAGCAGATTAGCAACAACTTAAAAGTTATGCTGATGTACGCAAAAGCACAAGAAACAAGCATTACAAGCATATATGAGAGGAGAACAAGGATAGACAGTTATATAAAGATGAAGGAACATTTTGGGTCACAAATTAATATTCATAATTAATCAACCTATGACAGAAGGAAATTTTGAAACAGCCCATGACAGATACAACGACTTAATTTTCAGCAAAAGGTTATTCAGATAGGAGGACCAATCCTGATGCATCTCATGACACAGTAACCTAAAGGTAATTTAGATTCTCTGAACATATTGAGCACAAACCATTAAGATATGATCTAGTGTCAAAGGGCATATTGAGCACAAACCATTAAGATATGATCTAGTGTCAAATGGCACGACCAATGTGGACCAAGGACAACAAATAGCTGCTGTAAACCAAACCAAGTTATTATAAGTTCAAAACAAAAAACAAACAGAGGCAGAGGAAATACAAATACATTTTAGACCAAAATCATTAATATTAATATTTAGACAAAATAAATTACCTTTCAGTATCCTTTCATCACTTGTTCCCCCCTGACTTTCATTGTCCCCTCTGAAGCAGGGGGACGGAATTCACCAGTTCCAGAATCTGTAATTTTGAACTCCCTATCTTGAAGAATCCAAAATCCAATAACCTTCAAAATATTGCGCTTATAAATTTCAGATAAAAGAACCACTTTTGCAGGAGTAATTACTGTTAAGGAAAAAAAAAAAAAACTTTAGCCTGAATGAAAGATTGCAGTCATTGTAATTTCCATTCTCTAGAAAGAGACATGAGAAAGGACTTTTTCGAAAGCAATCAAATTGAGTGCAACAGGTTAAAACGCTGCTTCCAGTCACTTAGCCTCACCTCCATAAAGAAATTAGCCAAAAAGCTTGTCAAGTCATTTGGAAGAACAAGAACTCTCAAAATGACATGCAGTTCGGTGATTATGTGCAAAGTCAATCTAAAACGACATAACCTTTTTTAGTTAGTTTAAGCCAAGATGAAAACCATTAATCGTACATTTGAAGCTAAATGAAATCGGCAAGACAAATTGAAGTTACATAAAAATCTAACAGTTAAAACACAACAGTAATAATTTGGTTGGTTGGGAAGAACGGTAAATCCGCGATCTTCATAATAGCAAGAGAAGCAGGGTGTTCTCCTTTCGCATGCGGACCAACCCAAGTTTCATACGACAAAAGAAGAATACCGAACAAAGGGATCCTCGATCTTCCTTACACTATTACCTTTTTAAGGTGAAGTACAACAAAAATTGTTCTGACAAAATGCACCACATATCAATAAAATTAGGGAAAAAACAATGATTTTGATTTTCCATGAGGCCATGCAATTTATAAACTTCATCATATACGGTGCCCAACTGCAGAACCATTTACAACTCGTTGGAAAAGATGTCCTCCACGGTGTAATGGAACAGAATGCAAGTAATGCGGCTGATAACTTACTGAATCACCCTATGGGGAAACATTAAAAAGATATTGACACATACATTGTTCTTCAGCATCATGTATCGAAATCTGACTATAGTTCCAAGAAAAAAGACATCTGCAAATGAATATCAATGCCAGATAGATCTTACTAGAACGCGTACCGTGACCCTTATTTCTCATGAGTGGTCGTCTTCGAGGTGCGAACGAAGTATGGTGATGTCGAAGTCTTTGTAACAATATGGGCATGAAAAATAGGGTCCGAGCTCGTCGACCACATCGAAATCATCGATTCCCGATCGACCTGAGGGCCCAGATTACAAGAAATCATGTTTTTTCTTTTCAGTAGAGAAAAAAGCGAGCCAGTTGGTGGATATTTTACGTTTATTTATTATCTGCCTTTCAAAATTGCAAGAAAATTTTTTTAGGAGGTCTATATTTTGTTTCGACTGTGTCCAGTCTCAATGCAGTGGGAACGCCATCAGGATGGATTTCAATTAAAAAAAAATCATATAACCCATATGGAATAACTTATAAACAACATAATGAAAGTAATAATTGATAAGTAAAATAAATTTATAAAAGTAAAAAAAAAGATAATTTATTAGGACGGGATTAGGACAAGACATCATATTTTATATCTCATCCCGTCCTGATACAGAAGTCCTGTTCTGCTTTTGTTTTATTCCAAAATGATTGGGATTTCCGGCCAAAGCAAATGATTGGGATTGAAACAGAACGTTAGGACGAAGCATAGTTGAACACCCCATTTATATTACGAGTGGACGATGGATACACACCCATTTACACAATACCCCTCTGGTCTTATTTATAGGACAGAAAGAGAAGATTTTTTTGATCCTATTGATAGGACATTAAGAAAAAATTTGAATATAGATGCACAATTTTATCTTTCATTTATTATTTTGTTGACTTTGTTTACATGATGTATAATGTATATTAAATAAAAATAAAGTTGGAAAGTTGTTAAGTTTTAAATGAGAGTTAACGAAGTTTAAAGTTTTTCTTAGTATGTGTAAAATATGTTAGAAGTGATTAATAAATAGGACTAGAAGAATACCTATCATTCACCTTCTAGAAAGTATTTTTGTTCCATAAGATACTCATTTAATCCTATTTATATGATAGAGAGATAATATATTTTTTGATCCTATTTATATGGCACTGAGAGAAATTTTTTATGTGAATGTACAATTTTACCTTTCATTTATTATTATGTTGATTTTGTTTATATGAGGTATAATATATATTAAATAGGGATAAAATTAAAAAGTTGTTGAATTTTAAATAAGAATTAATGAAATTTAAGGTTTTCTTTAATTTGTGTGAAACATGTTAGAAGTAACTTACAAATAGGACCAGGGGAGTATTGGCTAATTTTTAAGGACTATTAAATATGTTTTATATATACCCATAATTAATAAAATAGCGAAAAAGATTAAAAATCAATATGACATTGAAATTTATTGTCATTAATAAGAATAACATCAAAAATTCTTTATGATAAACTTAATGTTTTTCACTATTTTTATTGTTAGGTATAGATAAGTTAGAATTAATCTATATTTAGGGTTAGAGAGAGAGAGAGAGGAGTATTTATAGCACCGAACATCAAATTTGCAGCAAAAGTCAATAAAAATTCATCACAAATTCTTCATCTTCTTGTTTCATTCTCACGCATGTACCACTTAAATGCATGAACCTCTATTACAATACATGATACTCTCTCTGCTCCAAATTACAGTGTGTCTTTTACAAAAATCGTTAATATATAAAAATTTCTTAGAGAGCTATTAAATACTCATTCCAGTCCTATATATAAATTTCAAATAATCGAATCACATTTAACAAACTAACAATTAGAATTAGTTAAAAATAATCAATAAGTCAAAAATATTTTTTTAAAAAATTTGCCCTTATTTATTAAGAGAGTAAATGAGAGAGTCAATAAATAAAAAAATGATGAAAGAAAATATATGGGGTAGCAATAAATAAATGAAATGATGAAAGAGAATATATAGGAGTAATATTAATGTGTATAAGAGAGTACTAAATACAATCAACTAAGAACAAATCAAAAAATAATAATAAATACTCATATTAACTAAAAAATGAAACTTATATTTTGGGCCATACTTCTTTCTAAAAGTGAAGTTTATATATATGACAAGAGGGAATATCATTTTCCAATGTACTCCTATTTATTTATTTTTTGGATGAATTTACTCCTATTTATTAGTGGTGCTATTCAAACTTCATAGAAATCATGAACAACATTCTTTGATGGATAAAACCAACCTTTGTGCTTTTAATTAATCACAATAATTACACCATTGGAATTGGAGACGATCATGTTCATAATTTGGATGCATTTCGTTGACTATGAACATTAGAGATGGTGAAGTCAAATAGAACAATAAATTAATTTATTTATTATGAGTCGAATCCATGTAATTTATTTTACTTGAATTAGGCTTTTATTTATTTATTTATTTATTTATTGCCAACAAAGATGTAGTATTACTAAGTAGGACAAGTACAAAGCTCCAAAACAAACCAGACACAAGTAAACCGAACCAGAACAAAGAAAGTAACTAGAGAAATAAGGATGAGAAAATTCAAAGCAACACAAGTAAAGCGAACAAGCAGCGCAACATCCAATGACCATTGCTCCTAAAATAAGGGTCGCAACACCCAATTTGAAGGGTAAGACCCATTCATTGAAGCTTTAACAACTCTAGCAGCTACTAAATATGCTTCTGTGGGACCAACAAGAATTGATTCAACTAGTAAGGAGTTGGTTCATAATCTATAAGGTCATGAGTTCGAATTTCATTGCCGATATGAGAACTTTGTTGGTGGGAGATCTGTAAGTATCTTTGTAAGCACTCTCTGAGCCTGGAGGCATGCCTTAACCCTGGTGAACTCTTGGAATCCAACTCATCTAAATTTTTTTTGTAGCAAAAACAAATTGCTTCTGTGGGAATCAACTCGCGGGAATGATTCCTGAGAAATTAGGCTTTTATTTTGAACAACTATAGGCGTTCATATTTGACCGTAAAAACAATTAATTTTTCAGACCAAAAAATTAATGTTAATCTATAAAATTTCATAAATTTTTGTTGAATTTTCTTTGTTTGGTATATCGGAAATCCTATTTTGCAGATACCTATAAATTTTTTCAATTTTTAATTTGGTACCTATGTATCCTCCAAACACTGTAATTTTGATCTGTTAGCGTAATTGGCTTTTGGATAAAAGAGTAAAATAATAGAAGCCAATGGTGCTAATAGGGTATAATTAGAGTGTTTAATTAAGAGAACAAAACACATATGTATCAAATTACAAATTGAGGAAAACTATAGGTACCTACAATATGGTTTTCCCTAGGAGATTTAACACCATTTTAACATCCATGCATTTTTATAAATGAATATAAAGGACATAAATTAAAATTATCAAATCAAATAATAAGGGCTTAATTCAAATAATAAAGTAAACTATATGAACCGATTTAGAACTGAAATAAACTATAAGGATTTTCACATGCATGTATCGTATACATCTGCAAAGAGGAAAGATAAAACTTATGGAAATAGAAAAATAAAAGAAAACAATGGGACTAAATTCATGCACTTAATCAATGTCATTAATAATATTAGTTGTTTATTTTCATTCTTGAATTAATAAAAGGAAAATAATGTTTGACTTGTAAATACATTAGAATCAAAGCTAAATACGGTAAACTCTTAAATGCCATAATTGAGAGTGAAACATTGTTTGGCCTTTTGAATTTGATAATATTTATCCATAAATCAATAGAAAAATAAATAAATGCTTCTATAATTCCATTGTATTGCAGCATCTATTTACTTTACGGTATGATTTGAAACTTTATATGTTTTAATGTGTAAATATTTATCTAGGACTAGGAGTATGTTGAACTAAATAAATATCTCTATTCTACTGCAACATTTATTCATTTAATTATTTATTTCGTAAGGTGATAATCAATATGTATTTCATACTATTGGTTTATGATAGAAATACTGTCCATTTATTTAAATTTTTAATATGCGTATAAATGTGGGTGCTTTTTTTTTTTTTTTCCCCATTTCATACTCTTCTAGTCCTATTTACAGGGCAAAGAGATAATACTTTTTAGTTCTATTTATAAAGTACTGAGAGAAATTTTTTATATAGATATATAATTTTATCCTTTATTTATTATTGTATTAGCTTTATTTACATAATGTATAATGTATATTAAATAGGGATAAAGTTAGAATGTTGTAAAATTTTAAATGAAAGTTAATGAAGTTTAAAATTTTTTTTATCTGTGTAGAACATATTAGAACTGACTTATAAATAGGACTAGAAGAGTAACTATTCATTATTTATTTAACTTTCCAAGTATAGAAGGACAACATAGTTAAGATTAATAAGCTTATTCAATTATTTACAGAGTTGACTTGTGAATATTTGCATCTGAATGTGTAAAACTTTTATTTTTAAAGAATTCAAATTTGGGAGACACTGTAATCTAGGCTGAAAGATTAAAACATAAATACATAAATAAGTGAATAAATATATGGGTTTATTAATATGAGAAATCAACGAAAATCCAAAAATATCCCCCAAAAAAAATTAATTATGTGTCTTTCTTCAGACTATTTAAACGCTTAGAATTATATTGCTGGTTTGTTTTATGAGTAAAGAGTAAAGAAGTTTTGTGTGTGTTTTCAGTTGTGAATGAATATGCAAGGCCTATTATCATTTGCCATCATCCTCTTGTGTTATTTTTTTGCTTCTTCACAAGCTAATCCTATTTTTGATGTCCTCAAGTACGGCGCTTCAGGGGATGGCCAAACCGATGATTGCAAATATTATGATCCTTGTCATTTTCATCTGGCTATTTCTCTGCTCATTTCACGAAGTCTAGTTATTTCTTTTGTTCTAAATATAAAACCTATTTTTTAGTGTAATTTACACTACAAAATAGATTTTATATTTAGAACCAGAGGGAGTATGTTGTTTTTTACTCTTTTGAGGTTGAATTGTTTTTTTTTTTTTTCATTTCCCAAACTATGTGCAACGCACGAGAGAATAGGAAGATCAGTAAACTTTTTTATTTTTATTTTTTTTCCAACAAACTTTTCTTTTATTATTATCTTGATTAATCATTAATTAATTTTGTTTTATTGGGTAATTAATGTTGTTGCATTTGGGAATATGTGGAAATCAAAGGCTTTTGTGAAAGCATGGAAAGATGCTTGTAAAGCAAGAAAGGGCTATCCAACCCTTATGGTGCCTAAGGGAAGAACCTTTGTGTTGCAACCTACGGTTTTTAAAGGTCCTTGCAACTCTCCATCCATTAATTTCAAGGTAAGTGATCCATTCAATAATTAACTTCTTTCCTTCCCCCCCCCCCGGGGGATGATGTTTTTTTCTTGTTTTACTTCTCCTAATCACATTTCTCTTGTTTTGGTGACCTAGATGATTCAGAAATGTATAAACCCTTGATATATTTTTGAAAATGTGTAGAAAATTTGTGGATGCTGCTAATCTCTCTCTCTCTCGCACACACAAATTATATCCCCAGTCTCTCCGATTTTTATATGTATAAGAGGTTTTTTTTGGGAGATAATTTGTTTTTATTTATTAGAAATAGTTTGAAATTTTTAGTAGCTTTTTTCATTTTGTCCTCATTAATTATTGGTTAATCTCATTACATCAATTATCTACTCGTTCAATTTCTCTATACATAACAGTGTTGTTGAAAAATAAGTTGCATTTTTTTTTATATATTTATTGTCTTTAACCAATTTTAATAAAATTTTTATCTATGTACTCCCTTTTATTCTTATCACACGAGACTTTCAACTAATTCAAATGAACAAAGGAATTTTATTCTTATCACATGAGACTTTCAACTAATTCAAATGAACAAAGGAATGACACTTGACTCATTAAATCTGTCTTAAATTAATAAAAAATTTTGAAGTTTTGATGGAGATAGAAAACATGAAAGTCACTTTTAAGCATTAAATTACCAAGGCAAAATTAACAAATAAGCATTAATGACTCTTCAAACCATTTATGTTAAGGACTGAAGAAACCTTCTAGAAGGCATGTTATAATGTAGATTAGAGGGAGTGATTTGGTCACATGTATGTGTATAAATCATTTTCCAAGTGTGGGATAGCAGATTCGAGGGACTATAATGGCTCCAAAGGACATCAGTGGCTGGAAATGGCCAAGCAGTGACAAAAACGCATGGCTTCATTTTCAGTACATAAAAGGACTTGCTGTGGATGGCAGAGGACTTTTTGATGGCCAAGGTGCCCCTTGGTGGGACTGCTTCAAAAAATCCCAATGTCATAAGCGTCCACGTGTAAGTTACAAATCCTACTCCTTCAATATTTCAAATTAAATTTTAAAAAATTATGTATTTCCTTAACAGTTAAAATCTATATAAAAGTGTTAATAAATCCATTTTTGATTATGAATGTGAGTAATTGGTGCAGGCTATATCATTTCATGCATGTGAAGGGCTTAAAGTTAACAGGGTGAATTTGATTAACACCCCAGGAGGTCACATCTCCTTAAACGGCTGCAATGGCTCTGTAGTCTCCAACATCCACCTTCGTGCTCCTAATGATAGCCCTAACACTGATGGTCTTGGAATATCTAGCTCATCCCATGTCACAATCCGTGATTCTATCATGGAAGTTGGTAATCATCTAACTTAAGTAAGGAAACCTAACTTATTTCTCTTTTACAAAATAATTATAACTCTCGGGGAGAGGATACTCTCTAGATGTAGGAAGATTCATGTCGAGAGAAAATAAAAAGAAATTAATAGATCCCACATGTCAAGTTAGACCTACAAACTTCTCTCTTTTCCTTTTCTACTTGGACTTTGTTCACCAAAAAAGAATCTAGAATTGTAACTCTTCCCGTTTGAGGTCCTCCTTTTTTATCTTGTGAATCTCACCACTACTAACTAATCTAGATTCAAACACTCTAGACTTTCGAGGAGAGGAACTTCTCACTATGAAAAATAGAGTCTCTTCTACTTACCCTAATCATCTTTCATTCTCATTTGGGTTTTCTGATCATTCCTATGCATGATTGTGTTCCACTTTTGCTGAAGGTGATGACTGCGTGGCCATTAATGGAGGTTCCTACATGAACATCAGTCGCATTTTCTGCGGACCTGGTCATGGCATAAGGTGATCTCACATCATAACCCTCCTTTTCAATCACTAATAAATATATATATATCCATACAAGAAATTTACATGTGTTAATCAAATAATCCATAAAAGTCTTTGTGGTGTGTGTGGTGAATATACATGTCCAGCATTGGAAGCCTGGGAATTGGTGGAACCTATGGCGCAGTGGAAGAGGTCCATGTCAGAAATTGCACCTTCACCAGATCTTCAAATGGAGCAAGAATCAAGACTTGGGAGGTAAAACACACATACCAAAAAAAAAAAAAGTAAAATAAAATGATTTTAAACTGCATGCTTAATAACAATGATGATTCAGTATTAAAAAGATAAGAAGTTAAAACCTAACTTGCTCAGACTAGATTAGACTGTCTCTTTGCTGATAAGCGATTAAGACCAAAGGTTTCAACTTGAACTTCCAAAAACAATCCCCAAAATCCTTCAGATGAACCTATACATGGGGGAATCAACTTTTCGGAAAGAAAAAATTGAGAGAAGCTCAAGTAAAGAACTTACAGAAAAGTTCACTTAATCATGTTCAAAACTAACTATAAGCACATGAAGTTTAGAAAGACATTTTCAAGAGACTTGAGAATACATGCACACACATACTAGGAAGAAGGACCCATTAATCATTTAGATTCTGTTTGTAACTTATTTCCCACTTTTTCTCAATGATTGAATTCCTTAATCTACTTAACCCAAACTATTTTTACTTAATTATTAACATTCTCATTCAATCATGGTTTGACCAAATACAATCATGTTACGCTGTTCCTAACCAGGGAGGATTTGGGTATGTCAGAAAGGTCACATTTGAGGACATAATACTAGAAGATGTCCACCACCCAGTGTTCATTGACCAACACTACACTGCTCATCCTGCAACTGACAACAAAAAGGCTATAAAAATCAGTGACATTACATATAGGAATTTCCGGGGAACTTCAGCTTTTGAGGAAGCAGTCAAGTTGATGTGTGACAATGCCGTAGGATGCACCAACCTTCTGTTGGACGACATCAAAATTACATCGTCTGATCCTAAAAAGAACACCAAGGCCACCTGCTCGAATGCTCATGGCACAAGTTCTGCCTCCAACATCCCTCAAGTTTCATGCCTTCTAAAGTGACCCTTTTCTTCAGGGCTCATTCTGCACTTATTTGTTTAGAACATAGAAATTGTAAGCTATGCAGCTGATGAATATAAGAGCTTGGAGACTTAATGATGTCACTCTTGTTTATCAGCAGATTAGCAACCACTTAAGGTTAAGCGGATGTACTACCAAAAAATAGAACATTATGGGTGGTATATATGAGAAGATAACTAAGCTATACAGTTATAAATAGATGAGGGAACTTTTTGGCTTACAAATTAATATTAATAGTTAATTACAATTTTCTTGTTCCTAACAATATCTAAAAATGTATGAGAATACGATAACAAAATTTATACAAAACTGAGGAAAGGTGTGTAAGACTAAATCGTTATACCTGATGAAGAGTACATGCTGGAAAAGAGTAGGTATGGTTGTAAAGAGGACAGATCCATACCAGATTGGGTACTCACAACATGTTTATATTGATAATGGAGAGGCACCGATGCAACCAGAAGTGATCCACAAATGATGCCAAACTTGTAATAAAGTTTGTATCTGAAATATTTTAAAGACCAGTTACATAAACCTCTGGCACTCATAAGTCATAACAGAACGAAGTTTACATTTGAAACATGCTATGACAGATATAACAACTTAAGTTTCAGCAAAATAATGATTCAGACAGGACGGCCAATCCTGATATATCTTAGATACAGTAACCTAAAGATAATTTGGATCCTCCGTACATCTTGAGCATAAAGTCATAAACCATTCAAATCTGATTTGGATGGTCATGACTTTTTTCCTTCTCTTTTTGTTTTAATGACCTTTTTGATTTTGAAGGGAATAGAATAAATAAATAAATAAATATTTCCATTGATGAACTTAAAAAGAAAAAAAAAAAAGAAAATTTAAAAAACATAAAAATGAAAACAATAAAATCTAGGCCTTCCAAATCAGATTTACACAATCAAAGAGTTCCATGCGATGCACGTCTCCCTCAAAGTGCAGAGGATGTACAGTCAACCTTGGATGCAAGATATGCAATCTCAAACATCATGCAGATTGCTGGTGCAACTTCCCCTTCCACAAGCTTGGCAGACCCCATCCTATTACTGCCTCATATGCTGAGGTCAGTGAGCAATAGAGTCCACATGAAGAGATCCTCCAACTGTGAAAAATCACGAATCAAACTTTTCTGCCGTGATTCTAACACTTGGTCTGTAGCTGAAGGATTCAAACACCCCTAAGAATGTTCTCCGGCCCAACAAAATGCATTGTAAAGACTGCTTAAAGAGCTTAAGCCTTTTATTTCAAAGAAACCATATGTACTTGGAAACGGGAAACTACTTCAGTGTAAAAGCGCACATTGAGTGTGGACTAAGGACTGCAAATAGCTTCTGTAAAGAAAATCAAGTTACTAATCAATTCATAGCAAAAAACGTACAGAGGCGCATGAAATACACATGAATTTTAGACCCAAATCATTAATATTTAGACAAGATAAATTACCTTGCAGTATCCTTTCATCACCCTGACTTTCATTATGCCCTCTAAATCAGGTGGAAGAACTTCACGAGTTCCAGAATCTATAATTTAGAACACCGCATGTCGAAAAATCCAATAACCTTCAAAATATTGCAGTTATAACATTTCAGATGAAAGAAACTCTTTGCAGAAGCAAATATTATTAAGAAAAAAATTTACCCTGAATAAAAGAATGCAGTCATTTGAATTTTATAGAAAAAGACGTGAGAAAGGGCTTCTTCAAAAGCAATCAAATTGAGTAACACATGTTAAAATGCTGCCTCTAGTCAATTAGCCTCACCTCCATAAATAAATTAGCCAAAAACTTATCAAGTCATTTGGAAGAACAAGAACTCTCAAAATGGCATGAAGTTCAGTGATTATGTGCAAAGTCAATTTAAAATGTCTTACATGCTTTTTTCTGTTAACTTCAAGCTACAATGAAAATCATCAATAGTGCACTTAAAGTTAAATGAAATATGCAAGACCAGTTCAAGTTACGTAAAGATGTAACAGTTAAAGCACATGCGTAATGAGTTGGTTGGGAAGAACAGTAAATCCTTGATATTTGGTAAAAGAAGATTACAAACTTTCATTAAGAGAAGCAGGGTGTTCTACTTTTGCGTGTGGACCAACATAAGTTACTTACCCACAATAAGAACAATTTACCAAGACAAAGAAGAATATCATACAGAAGGATCCTTTACATTATTATCTCTCTAAGACGAAGTACAACAAAAATTGTTCAGACAAAATGCACCACACATCAATGAAATTTAAAACAAAAAAAAAAAAAGGAATTTTTTTATTTTGTCATGAGGCCATGCAATTTATAAACTTCATCACATACCGTACACAACCATTTACAGTTTGTTGGAAAAGATTTTACTTGTATGCTTCATAGTCTAAAGGAACAGGATGCATAATGCGGCTAACAGCTTACTAAATCATCCTACCCGGAAAAATAAAATGATATTGACACATACATTGTGCTTCATCATGTATAATAAAGTCATATTGTAATTGCATACAAAGCCACTTTTTCCCACGCATAAAACAGAAATACCTTCAGTTTTTCTAAAGTTGGGCGTGCTCGCTCAAATCCATCCAAGAGAATGCCTTAATTTTCTTGTATTAAAAATTCTCAGAATGCAATGTCTTCTTGACTAGTGGATACATAGTTGACTAGCATTTCAATGGTAGCAGCGTCTGCAACAAAACCTTTCTCTTTCATTATTTTAAGGTATCTCATTGTCTTTGAAGTCTCCTTTTTAAAAAGAAATCCTCGAATAAATACATTGTAAGTACAACTATTAGGCGGGCAACCATTCTCTTCCATATTTGTCAATAATTTTTCAGCCTCATCCACCAGTCCTTCTTTACAGAGACCTTTAATCATTATGGTATAAGCATAAACATTCATTTGCAATCCTTTAGCAGGAAAACTATTAAAAAGTTCCCGAGCAGCATTCAGTTTTCCAGCACTGCACATTGCATCAAGCAAAATACAGTAGATCACAATATTAAAATCCATATTACTCTTTTCCATTGCGGCAAATAATGATATTGCCTCAGAATGAAGTTGGCATTTGCAAAGTCCATCCAATATTACAGCACAAGTCTGGAGATTGGGAATTTGGCCATATTTATGCATACTGAAAAACAGTTCTTTAGCAGCAAGTGGTCTACCTACTTGGCATAACCCACCTATAAGTGTAGTCCATGTGACAACATCAGGAGTAAATCCTTTGCTAACCATTTCATCCAAGAGATGCATAGCATTATCAATGTTTTTTACTTTACACCATCCATGGATCAATGAACTATAAGTTACAATATCTGGTAAACAGCCCCTGCTAGCCATTAAATGAAATACTTTTGTGGCTTCATTCATTTGATTTTGCAAACAATATCCATCAATCAATGAATTATAAGTGAAAACATCAGGCTCCTCCCCCATCTGAATCATAAAACCCATTATGCTTTTAGCACCCATTATCATTCCTTCTTTGCTTAAGGCATCCGCTAAAATATTAAAAGTTTTAACATCTGGCATGATCCCCTTTTGCCTCATCTCAATTAGTAGTGCACTAGCTTCCTTCCATCTACAAGAAGTACATAGACCTTGAATTAAGCAAGTGTAAGTGACAACATTAGGCTGAATACCTTTACTAGTCATTTCTGAACACAAACTTAAGGCCTCAGATACCAACCCATCCTTGCACAAACTATTGATAATCATGCTATAGACTACAACATTTGGCTTACAAATTCTTTCCTCCAGCTTCCGTAGACACTTAATTGCAGCACTTGTGTCACTGATACTGCACAAGCCGTTTATTATTGTCCCAAAGGTGTGAATGTCGGATTGATACCCCACTTTTTCTGTATGTTCAAGTAATCTTATTGCTTGAACCAACTTGCCTTCTCCACAAAAACCATTAATAAGAGTGGTAAAAGTCACAACAGTAGGCTCCAAACCAACTTTGAACATAGTCCCCAAAACTGAGAACCCATAATCTGTCTGCTTTAAATGGCAAAGACAATTTATCACAATATTCAGAGTATATACATCAGATTTTATACCCAACGAAGAAATTTCTTTAATAAATGAAATCGCTGTTGTATAATGCTTCATCTTCACAATCACCCCCAACAATAACGTGAAGTCTAACACAGATGGCAAAGGCTTCATCCTAGCCATCATATGAAAAATGTTGACGGCATCATCAATATTTTTCAATTTTCCAGACCTGCATTGGTTCCTCATAAGATTTAACAACTGGGCGTCGATTTCTGTAGAACCAACTGTGGTAGAAATTGGAGAACAAGAAGACACGACAACACAGGAAAAGTAACGCGATGGGAGAACAAGAGGAGTTCTGGAGCCAGCAGTAACACCAATCTCTTGAAGAAGAAGAAGAGGAAACCAAGAAAAGGACGCTATTCTTCGTAGCATAGGATTAGACAAGTGGGTATCACACGCTCACTATCAACATAGCAAATAGTTTGCTCTAATGTTTAATCTAAGGTTTGAAAGTTGATGAACCATATTAAAGAGGAGGAGGACTTTACCAAGAGAATTGAAGCATCAAAGCTTCCGATTTCTTCGAAAACGCAGCAACACACCAAGCTTTCTTCTTCACTATTCTGGCGACCAAAACTCGCGAAGCGGAGCTGTTTTGATTGAACGAGATGTTGAGAAGACTATAGAACAAACTCCACTAAGGTTTTGGTATGGGCTTTGCAAGAAGGAGCATTCCACAACTCTCAGTCTCTTTGCTGCGAAACAGAATGCTGAACAGAGAGGAAGGGTCGCTGGCTCGTTTGAGTCGTTTCGCTATGGTGGAAGAGGAAGGCCAAAAGAGCGCGCTTAAATTACTAATTGCCCCCTCATTGCATTTTTTTTAATTGATGATATTTATTGAAAAATATAAGACATTTTTATACGGGAAAAAGACAAAAAAATGCAACTTTAACTTCAAAATGCCACAAACGTACACCCAATATGCAAAATCCCTTTTTGGTGTCATGAGACCAAATTGGCATTATTTTGTTAAATGAAAAGACCATACTGCGCTCACCATATACAAAACATGGGCACCACATTAAGCTGCACGCCAAAGGAAGATAGGTGGGAAGGAAAAGAGAGAAACGTGCACAATTCCAACTGTTCGAGGGTGATGAGAAGGTGGTGGTTCGAAAGGGTAAGTGTTTTTTTGAAATCATATGACTCTTTCATCCTCCTTGCATGACTGTTGCGGTCTGTTTTCTTCATTTTGGTGGTCCTGCATTCTGCATGAGTTGTTGAGGGTTTAGAGGAGGTAAGGTGCGGCATTACGTAAGGCGTACGTTCTTCATATTGGGGTGTTGGTTTTTCCTTTTTTAGGTGTGAGAATGGTCAGCAATTTGAACAAATGAGTTGATTAGTGTTAGATAAGGTTAGGGTTCTAGGCAAGTTAGTTTTGTCAGCTTAAAAGGGAGACGATGCTGCAGCAATCGTAAGTTGATTCATCTTGGGATGTTGGTTGTTGTTTTTAACTTGTGGGAATGGTTAGATATTGGAACGTATGAGTTGGTTAGTGAGGGATAGAGTTAGCTTAGTATGGGACGGTGCTTATAATGATCTGTTTGTGGGAATAGCAGATGGTAGTTGAGGGAAATTGGAAGAAACTCGGCGATGATCACGTATATAGGAAGGCTGAATATCAATAGTGATGACATTGTGAAGTGTGTTGTTAATAGGTAAAGTGGATTTATGAAATGATATATTGAAGTTGTTAACTTTGAAAGTGGCTGTGTTGGGTTTATGAAATATCTTTTTTACAGAGATGACATTGTGATGAAATATTTTCCTTGTTTGTTGTGGGGTATAATGCAAAATGACATGCAATATTGGGTCAACATATTCAAAGACACTTGCTTTGATTTTTCATCTTGGTAGAAACTTTGTTAACAATGTTGAAGGTGAAATGAAATACAATGGTGAGAGTGTGAGAGTTAAAACGATAAAACAAGGGATAGAACATGAAGAGTTGAGGTCAATGATATTGGAATGGTTTGATATAGATGTTAATATTTGTGACATGAAATATACAGTGAGCTTCGATGATAAGGCATTAGTAGATTTGGTTGATGATAGTGAAGTTGATAATCCTTTTCAGTACAATGACACTAGTGCACATGTGTATCTAGCATCGAAGGAGAGTACACCAGAAGTAATGGATGATCCACAAATGTGAGATATTTTTTTTCATAGTTATTGCAGTTGTTATTTATTATATTGTTGTTGTGAATTTCTTAACAAAAGTTGTAATTATGCATGCAGCATTGACAACTTCTTGGGACTGTCACAAAAAAGGTATTTTTTGTCAAGTTGCGGGAATAATATGGACGGAACTGTTTGTGATGAAAATGGGGGTGACTGTGTAAGAGAAGGCAGTGGGGGATGTCATGTGAGGCTAGTAAGTACAGTAGAGATTGCACCAACACCCATGCCCGAGATGAGTGCTGTGAAGTGGAAAGAATTGTTATTAGAAAAGAAGCAAACTTTTGCAAATACGACAGAATTCAAAAAGAAGGTATATAAATTTAGTATTACAGAAAAGTTCAAGTACAAATATGTCAAAAATTGTGAGGAATGTGTGCATGTGAAATACAATGTTGAAGGTTGTCCTTGGCGAATAATAGCAAGAGTAGCTAAGAAGAGAAGTCCTTTCCCCGTTGTAACTCAACTCAAAAATAAATATGTGCATAATGCCCAAGAGATTATGCAAGTTACACATGATGAAAGAGCAGCTTTGACATCATCAATTATCATTGAGGAGGTAAGGGATCACACAGATAAGCGTCCAAATGAAATAAGAAGGACCTTGGCAAGGGATTATGGTGTGAAGTTGACATATAAGCAGGTATATATGGTTAAGGAAAAAGCATCAGAGGAAATACAAGGGAGGCCTGAACAGTTATATATGTTGATACCATGGATATGTCAACGATTGAAGGAAACCAATGGGAAGACGGTTGCTGAATGGGTAGCAATTATTAACAACATATTTGAGCGCGTTTTCATAGTATATGGTTGTTGTGTAGAGGGTTTTTTGTTCAGGGTAAGACATGTACTGTACATAGATAGAACACATTTGAGTGGACTATATAGGGAAACACTGCTATCAGTCTCAACATATGATGCGGACAATGAATTGTTACTATTCGCATATGCTATTGTGGAGGGAGAGACTTATGAGGAGTGGGCATGGTTCCTAAATATGATAAAATAGATAGTTTGTACAATCCAATTAACTATTATGTCAAATCGTTACAATGCAATAATAGGAGCTGTTGGAGCAATATTTGGAGGTGACAGTCATGCATACTGTTATAGGCATGTAAAGGAAAATTTTAGCTATGAAATGAATAAATTATACAGAGGTAGGAGGAGAACTAGTGGTATTAGTAAGGAAGTTGGATTAAAGTTGTTTGATGACATTGCATACACGAGGGTTAACTTTGAGTTTGATAAGGCAATGACAAGGATGGGAAATTTCAGTCCTCATTTACTTCAGTGGCTTAACAATCATGGTGATATTCATAAGTAGGCATTAGGCAATGAGTAAGTTTCCATATAAACAATGGGATAACATAACAATGAATCTTGCTGAGTCATTCAATGCTTGGATCGTAAAAGAGAGGCGCCATAATGTTGCCCAACTTATTCATGAATATCATGAGAAGGTTGCAAAGAAGATGTGCGCAGCAAGTATGGGAATGGGAAACTGGAGAAATGGTGTGGGTCCAAACATTGATGGAAAGGTGATGGAAAATATGGCTAGATCGGTTCATATGCATGTTGAACCTTATGGAGGTGGCAGGGTCTATGTATATACTTCGCATGGAGCGTTATATGTCAATATTCAGTCAAATGAATGCATTTGTGCTGCATGGCAAATGACAGGGATTCCGTGTCCACATACTTGTACTGCAATAAGGGTGGTCCATGCAAATGTGTATGATTTTGTAGAGGAATGTTATAAAATAACATCTCAAGAGAAGATTTATGGGAGCACCATGATTCAAGTAGTGACAATTGACAAGCCTAATCCTAATGATTAAATGCTGGAAAACATAAAAAATCAAGTGTTGCTATATCCACCTAAAACTAGTAGACCTTCGGGAAGGCCAAGAATTAGGAGGCGGGAATCCCAATTCCAAAATAGGAAGATTTACCACTGTGGACGGTGTCATGAAGCTGGGCACAGTAAAAGAACATGTAGAAATCCAAACCCAATTTAAACTTGGTGGTCTGCATATGGGTCTATTTTGTAAAGGTCATTTTTTGTTGTGGCTTGTAAATATTTTGTAACTCTTCATATTTTTTTGGATGAAGAGTTGTGCCATATGATAAATCCATATCGTAGGTCAGACATAGTCAGTGAAATATGTATTTTGATGTCAGTGAAAAGAAAACATTAAGTGGCGATGGAATATTAATGTTAACTTGTCATTGATTGTAAGTACTGTCACGAAGGATCTGGTTTTGGGGAAATACCTTTACTGAAGTTGTTATTTCCTTTAAGTGTGTTGTTAACCATGACAGAAGTTGCAAGACAAGTCTACTTATTATTCATGTTTGATATTCTTGCCTTGTGTTTAATGTTTTAAGTATGATCTTCGTATGTGCTGGTAAAAAAAAAGTATGATCTTTGTATGAACTAAGTTTAACAAATTGGCATTATTGATCATTTCCTTTTATGACAGTTGTGAAAAAATATACTTGAGTTGTTAAAAGCTTATTTTGGCATTATTATCTGGTTTACTGAAGTTGTAATGTGGTGGGTTTATTCATTATTGGAAATGCTGTTGTGAATATCTATAATGAAGTGGTAAATATATATAAATATGTTGTAAATCCATTCACTGGAGTTGTAAAATTCTCCCCAGATGCTAAAGCAGGCCATCCAACGGTGTTCTAAAGATATATAAAGATGTTGTTAATCTATACACTGGAGTTGTAAAGTTCTTCCTGGATCCTTATATAGTCCATCCAACGAGGGTGCAAGCAGGCAGGAAAGCAGGTAGTTAATGGGTATACGTGAGCTGTAAAAAACTTATAATAGAGTTGTTAAAATATTAACCGAAGTTGTAAAAAAGGGTTTATGTTTTCTTGAAAATGCTGTTGTGAATAGCGATACTGAAGTTGTAAAGATATATAAAGATGTTGTTAATCCATACACTAGAGTTGTAAAATTCTCCCCGAATCCTTATACAAGCCATCCAACGAGGGTGCAAGCAGGCAAGAAAGCAGGTGGTTAACGGGTATATGTGAGTTGTGAAAAGTTATAATGGAGTTGTTAAAAGTTTAACAGAAGTTATAACAGGCGAGTCTTTTTTCTATCTTCAAATTGCTGTTGTGAATACTCATGCTGAAATGGTAAATATATATAAAGATGTTGTTAATAGTTATACTGGAATTGTAAAATTCAACATAAATTCTGACTACTAATGTCTCAAATGGTAAGAATCTATTGCTAACAACACACAATTAGTAATATTGAAATCAATCCTTCTGCCATGTACATAAATCCTCTCCAACGTTAAATAAGATGCAACCACATCAAATTGTCACAGACATGCACAAGAAACCTCTTAATAAGTACTATGACAAACATCGTCTTTTGGTGGTTGTCTTTTTCTGCTGTTCTGGAAGGAGAGTTAAGGCTTCTTCCGGACTTGAATTCAGCGGATGATTAACTAGCCCCCATATTAGATCACATCTAAACTCAGCTACATGATTCTGTATATAAGACAAGTGCACATGTTAGTATCCACCATATCGAACAATTAATTAATCATTAATTACAAACAACTTTCATACCTCATTGAAGTCAAATGTCACATCCGGGACCCATTTGCTTAGCCAAATCAACACATGAACGCCATAATCTCTCTTATACAGCCAATGGGAAATAAAATATTTTAGTTAGTACGATCACTTCTCCAATTCACATCTTAAATTAAAAATCAATGTCAACAGTCAACACAACATACAAATTGTTCTGTTGTGGCACAGGTTGAAAAATAATATCATTCTCAGGCTTCTTCTCAACAAGTTTAGGTCTGACTAATGCAATTATGTCATAAAAGTTGTCTCTCTGCAAACAGAAAAACAGAAATCCAAAATATGAGTACGCTGGTGTTGGAACCGTTGGAAACTTGTCATACGCAGATACATTAGTTTAGTTCTTACACATGCATGAAGATGAAACATCCTTTTTTCTTCCAACGAATCCTTTTTCTTGGTCTTCTTTGACATATCATTGGTCAGCCTCATGGAATCCAGGACATAAAAATGCATGGTTTTTGGATCCAACATAAAGCAAAATTGTGGGTCCAAATATTAAATCACAGTAAGCTAGGTTATACTCGATATGCTGTGGCAAAATTGCATGTTTATTCTCTGATGCTCGCCACCATGAAGGGTTACCAAGCATTTTTATCTGCAAAACAACATATTAGTTTAATCGTTACAATCCTTATTTGTCAAAAAAAAAACATAGATACAACAAAGCTTACCATGAATTCAGCATTAAAAATGTGTCGCCTCACTTGTCCTCCCTCACCTGCCTCTGCCATTAATGTCCTACTGACCATTGTTATCAGAGGGCTACTTACTCTTTCGATTCCACCTATCGTACACAACTGATCCCGATCAATTTGTTCATCACACATTGTAACCATTATCCTGTAATGTGTACATCATAGGTAAGTCAAACAGCAATAACAAATTAAGATGAAAAAACTTTCCTACTTCTAATGTAAATTGCACGGCATATCTTACTTCTAACCCTCCTCCCGTGAACACATGTGAGAGACAATGTTGAAAAACTTGTCCTTCTCAGTTATCACTCTCTTTCTCCTCTTAACGAGCTTCAACATGGAAATCCACGAAGAAGTTATTTGATGACTTGGTATGATTGTTCTCTTTGATGTCCTTCGGTCTTCTCCCTTGTCAGTCTCTTCATCTAATGACTCCACTCCTTTATCTCTTTCATCATACACAACATTAGTGGGCAATCTGTCAATCATTCATCCTCATCATTACTATCATCATCAACTTTATCTCCATCAGCATCACCTTTCTCATTGTCTCCTTCCTCTCCATCGTCATCATCTTCATTACTACCTCCTTCCTAATCATGGGATTCACCTTCAACAGTATCTCTATCACTCACATTTGTCACTACCTCCTTCTTCACCTTTACCATCAGATAGAAGAATCACTGCCTCATCGCCTGTGTTGTCAACAGGGTCCTTCAGATTTGAACTTGGCATCCCCTGTAGATGGAGCTGCACCTTCATAAGCTCCTCTGCAAATTGGTTACTAAGCCTTTTATGGCTTTCCTCAAGTGCATCCATCATCCTTCAATGCACTTCCTTCAATGCACTTCCTTCAATTCCTGTGTAATACATTTGTTAAATGGTTAAACTCTTTACATACTAATGAAGTTTATACTTATAAAACTATAAACATACTGGCCGTAGATGAGCAACACTTATTGTATTTTCCTGTACTTTTGTAGACTTCCTTTTGTACAATAGGCCTATATTAATATTTGACTCTTTGTTGACCAATTCCTTTATTCTATGGTCTGTCCAATATGCAATAGCATTTGTTGGGTCATAGTTAATAGCTTTTGACAATGGGAATTTCTCACCCAAATATAGCTGCAGCCACAATCATAGCACACCCCATATTAGCCAATTAAATTAAACAGTTACATCAATATTGAACAACATGTTTAGCTATAAACATACCAGTAAGAAGTACAGGCATCCACCCACAGTGCCACACAGATCCCTCTCCTTCCTGAACAAATTCACATAATCTTCCATTTCCTTCTAGAGATCATTCATGATGTATGTCGCCTCATCATACTGTCATAGTTGAACACACCACCCTTAATAACTTCTCACCAACTTTTGCACTTGAAGTTGGGGCTAGAAATGTGCCAAGTGTGACCAACATAAATAATAATTCAAAATGCTCATCATCCGTCCTACTTTTTATGTCAGCTAATATCGTGCTATAAGCAATGTTACCATACTTTCTTCTCAGCTTCTTATATGTGTCATGATTTTCATCAACATCTCCTTTTACCTCTTGCCTAGTATGGGGCACACCAAGCAATGTTCCCACATCATTTGCCTCAACTTCTTCTGTCCTCCCCCTCAATCAGAATTGATGTGTTGTTGGATCGTACGATTGAATGAAAGCTACAATTAACTCACATGGGAGTCTGTCACAATCCACATTCAACAACTTAGAGAATCCTATATTCTCTATCCTTTGTCTTAAACTTTCATCACTTTTAACAAATTCTGCCAGTGACATGAATTGATAAACAGAGCAACGGGTGAACATTTTCCATATTCTCTTACTTTTCTTCTTCTCCGGCCTCATTTGTTTGGCTCTTTCACTATATATTTTGTTCTCCTTGATAGACAGCCTTGCCCATGCCTCTTTGCCTTATTAGTTCTATCTACTGCACCCTTGAATTTTTGCCCTTGAGCAAATTCCTCTCTAAATAAGACATACCCATTCCTTGACCCTTTTAAAGTTGATGTCTCTCCCTCCAACACCATTTTTTCTGCACATTACACATTCATAAAAGCATGTCAGAAAACAATTATTGAGGGTGGGGCTATAAGCTAAAAAGCATTAAACAAAACCTTACAAGCTTAAAAGTGGAGTTATAAGGCATTTTTCCAGAACAATACAATTCACAAGCTTTCATTCATACGATTCAAATAGATCCAATCCAAACATCCAAACAACATAAACTGTTTCGATAATTCATTGTTCAAGGAAGCACTGGTTATCTAAAACATAATTTGTAAGCTTTCATAATTAAGAGTGGGATTAATCACTTCACATGGGTTTCATTTGAGGAATGTTAAAAATATAATAAAAGTTAGGAACTGTGATTGATAATGACACAATTATATAGGATAAAATTCTGAATGTATATTAATCCTACGTTAAAATATACACTGGCAAATATAACTCCAACAAAGGAACACACAGAGCAAACAGAACACATGAACAAGTAAACAACAGGGATATATAAGTTTTAATTTGAAGATAAATATTTGTGCTATTGACAGAAGTTGGAGACACAGAGGGGTGCAGTGTTGGTGACAGAGCTGAAGAATAACACAAATAAGTTGGCTTAGTGGACTGCTCAAGCTCTGCAACCCAAATTAATTCTTATTATCATAAAGAAAACCGGAATAAACAGCCAAACATGAGCGAAGCCGTGATTTAGCATAGCATATTTCTTTAAGGTAGTTTGATTCTGAATCCAATGCTACCAAAGCATTCTCTCTAGATTGGAATGCGTTTGATCACATCCAAACCAACCAACCGAACTTGATCTTAAAACAAAATAGACAAATCACATAGAACCCAAAAAAAAAAACTATAAGTAAGAATAATGAATATGGAGCCGAGATGAACCAAGATGGATAGCTCGTAATCCTTTATTATTATTGTTGTTGTTGTTGTTGGTATTTCCTTTAGAATTTTGTGTGACAAGTATCGAATTCCTGTCAACTTTCCTTTGTTTTCTAGAGATTCATACGGCAGGATATCAGAATTCAAACCTTGTGTGAGGAGGAAGGACGGAGATGGAGCTGAGATTGGAGACCCAGTCTTTGACTCTAGCTTCACTACCCATCAACAAACATAGAGAAGGAAGGAATGTTAACAAACTTACCTCTGTCTCACCACAAATTGCTCCTCTTCTCTCTTCCTCGACTTCGATCGATTGCCGCAATGTAACCATTCGGTCGCTCTTTTCCTTCTCTTCTTTGACGATGACCACCTAACGCTCTTCCTTCTTCTCTTCTCTCTTCTTCGCTCTGTCGGCTTCAACCGGGATCCGGGAATGAGAGTGTGAAAAGCCCCCGCCTCTCTCCCCCCAACTTTTGTTTAAAATAATACTCAGGGCAATTGGGTCTTTTCATTTAACAAAATAATGCCAATTTCATCTGATGAGACCAAAAGGGGATTTTTCAAATTGGGCAGACGTTTCTGTTATTTTGAAGTTAACGTTTCATTTTTCTGTCTTTTTCCCTTTTTATATTTTAAAGTCTAATTAACAAATTTTTTTAAAAAAATATAATTAGGGTAAAATTAATTGAAACAACCTATTAAATACAAATAACTATTGAAAAAATATGTAATTTTAACTGCGATTTGTTAACATTCAGACCAAAAAAAAAATAAAAGGCATCTTCTTTCAAATAAAAGAAAATGTTTTCATTAAAAAATCTAAAAATAAGAGTTTCTTTCGTGGCAGTCTGTTAGACTAATTTTTGGAGTTCATTATTATTAATATTAATACTGATTATCCGTCTAATAGTATATATTCAAGAAAACCTCTTACCCGCCACCTGCCCAACGTATAAATAACATTCGCTCTGCTCACTCTCACTCTACAGTTTCACTTTCGCTAGAGAATTTGATTTGATTTTCTGTGACGTATGATTAAGCAGAAAACGAGAGCAATCTCCGAGGAATTTCTTGAAGAATCAAGAATGGCACTTAATATTCAAGAGCCTAGTGATTTTCAGATTCCTGACGAGTCACCCCAAGAAGATCTCACTGAGCCCGCCAACAGGTTCTCGATGCTCCAACTTAATAACAACAATCCTTCACCCTCCTCCGCTGTCGCCGCCGGTGGATGTGGCCACCTCCTCCATCATCCTCCATGCATTAACTGCGGCTGTCAGGGCTTCAATCCCATGAAGCGTCGATCACCGGAGTCCAAGTTGGAATCCTCGCGTCCCAAGAAGCCTTCTTGCGAGCAAGAAGACCAGACGCAAGCCGGTGGATACTCGGCCGTTCCGCTCCCTCTCAGTCTCGAGAACCTCGCTGCCATTCAGAACAAAAGATCCGCTCTCCCTGTTTTTCGCCGATGCTTTTCCGATCCTTACACTGCGCCTTCGGCCGCCGGCACTGGAGCTCCGTCGACTCCGACTCCTTCGCCAGAGAATACTCCCTTGGCCTCCCGTTTGCCTCCCAGGCCTCCGAGTCTGAAGCGTTGCGTATCGGATCCCAGTTCTTCTCCTGCTAAAACGACTCGTCAGGATTCTAGTTTGGAGGATATGGGAATGGGAGCGGATTTGATCAAGGAAGAGAATTCGAATTTAATGGTATATAATTTTCTTTGGGTCATTTCTAAATTCAATTATTTTGCACTTGATCATGAGTCATGACTTTTGAGAATATAATGAGATGGAATTTGAATTTCCAGAGAATGAGAAGAATGAAAGATCGGTTGAGAGAGATGAAGAAATGGTGGGATGAGGTTATGCAGGAGGGGGAAGGGGAGCAAGTCGATGAGGGCGATAGAGCCGTGTCTGTCTCTCAAGTTGACGAAGGTGATAAAGCCGTGTCTGTCTCTCAGGTATGTTTCTGTTCTTTCTTAATCATGTACTAGTTCTTTTTCCTTTTTTGTAATAATTGGGCGAATATCAAGATTCCAAAGTTGGAATAGATTAAAATGATAAAATGAGAATGTGGTTAGGCTTTTTATAGAACTAGAATTTGGGCCCTGAGCTGCTTTAAGATATGTATATTGATATGGGTTATCCATTTAAAAGACAAAAAGATAATTCTTCGACATAGTTGTTTATGCCTTTGCTAGCATGGTTTTAATTAAGTACTGACTTGAAAAGGAATTGTTTATCAGCATTCAATAGTGCATTGCTGAATTTAAAAGCTATCCATATGTTGGACTTAAGCAGTGGCTTACATTGATCCTAAATTGTTGTGATCCTAAGGGTGAGTGTTTTACTGTTTAAGAAAAATCCACTATAGATAGAGAACTGGGGAAAATTTAGGTTTCATGCTTGATTCAAAATCCTTTACCAGGACGCCGAAGGCATCATGCAGCTTTTGTCTTTACTGTCCAAGCTCTAGGTTGTATTTCATTTCATTAATAAATCGTACAACATTCAGTCTTTTGAAAAACTATCCGTCACAATATCCTTCTATCTTCATAATGATGGCTTATATATATATATATATATATATATATATAAATGCTGATATTGACCATACATTTAAATTGTTGTGCATGCCTTTGCTAGCATAGTTCATTAAGGCTTTCCCTCAGGTCAAAAAGTAAGGACTTCCTTTTCAGCTTTCCCATTCCCATAGTCGATTCAACAGCAAGCAAGTCAGGCTTTCAATTGTATTTACTTGTAAAAGTATTTTCTAGTAGAAGTCAATAGTGAATTGCCGAATTTAAAAACTATCCACATGTTGTATCATATCATTGAAGGGACTTAAACAATGGCTTATATTGATCCTAAATTGTCGTGAACCTAAGAGTCAGCATTTAAGGGGAAAAAGGATACATTATGCATAGAGGACATGTTCTTTCTGTGACAGTTTTATCACTGTTCTCGTTCACAGTAGAGAACTTGGAAAGATTGATGTTTCATGCTTGTGTCAAAACCATCACCAGGACAAGAAGTTGCATTGTGCAGCTTATGTCTTTGCTGTACAAGCTCCAAACTTTATTTTATTTCAATAATGATTTTACAACATACCGGCTTTTGGAAGAATTTATGTACATTCTCTGCAGCTAAGGTTGGTTCATAGGATAAATCTTCAAGTTTCTCAAGTTGAAATAGATTAAAGTGATAAAGTGAGATGAGGATCAGATATTTATAGAATTACTCTTTCTAAGAGACAAAATGAATTATATGTTTGCTGGTATAGTTTTTAGTTTAAGTAGTGACTTCTGAAAAGAATTTTTGAACGAGTCAACAATGCATTACTGAATCTAAAAACTACTCGCATGTTATGTTTTATTATTAATGGAGAGCTGCTAAAAGAGACTTGAGCTGCGGTTTATATCGCTCCTAATTTGCCAAGAACTCAACAGTCAGTATTTAAAGTAAAAAAGGGGTGCACTATATAGAGGACATGTCATGTCTTAAGATATGTTTCATCACTGTTCTCACACACCATAGGGAACCTGAAAAAATTGAGGCTTCCTCCTTATGTAGTCAAAATCCATCATCAGGACAAAAGGTTGCATTACCCTGCTTTAATTTCGTCTCGATGTTCAAGCTGTAATTCATTTCACTAACGATTATACATTATATTGGCTCTGGAAAAGTTGTGCTTCAGCGCACCGTTTAGGTGCAGGGAGCCAATGAAGTTAGTATTTCAGATTATGGGCCTGCGTTCAATAAGATACTGATATTAGTATTTCAGATCATGGGCCTGCGTTCAATAACACACTGATATTACCAGCATGCTAACCGAACATGGACCAATTAGTATATAGAACAGAATGAAATTAAAAGGTTGAATAAATTTAAACAAAAAAATGAGACTTGTGCCTTCGATGAAAAAGCAATAAAAATAGATAAATAATATTGCAGAAATGAATTTGTTCAGTTGAGTCAAGTGTATTTTTTAAACTACTATTTTATTCACTCTATTCGGGGAATAGTATGATGGCTTTGCTTGGCGACCCCCTCCCCTGGCGGCTGTATGCTCTCGCTTTTATGATCACTTTTCACTGGCAGTATACTTTCCACCCTTTTTGGTTTTGGATTTGTGTTTAATTCAAATTTTTATTGTAGGATGATTCTGGAACCGAAGATGGTACAGAAGAAATTGTGAGTGTAGAGTGGGTTGAGAAGAGCCTGTGCATCAATTTCAAATGTCCTTGTGGTAAGGGATACCAGATCCTTCTCTCAGGCAACAAATGTTTCTACAAGCTTGTGTAATAGAGAGTTTCATATTTGTTCATAGGATTTTTTTTTTTGGTCTTTGGCCAGTGTTCATATATAGTATCATACAGCTTTCCATCCCTTTCCACTGACACTGTCAGGGAATTGAATGAGACAACTCTGTTCAAAGTTGTGTAAAATAACATGGGTGTTGTATCGATGGTATTTTGACTTGTACAGTGGATAATTCAAATGAGGTGAATAATGATGATAGTTCTTATTTGGTTGCCAAAACTTGTTAGTTGGTTTATTCTGAAGGCTGAAAGAAATTACCAGAACTTGAAGAAAACTATGTATCAATATATGAAGAGGAGAAAGATACTGATATTACAACTAAAAACAAAATACCATAGCATTTGTCTCTTCTATTGCTTCTCTGACAAATGGAGTGAAATTTTTTTTGTCTTTTTCTATTATGTATTGTTAATATAAAGCTAACTAAAATTAATTACCAAATTGAACCCTATTATTTTGAAGTTAAGAATATGTATATCTTCTTCTTCACAGAGAAATATATGCTTGATGAAATTATTGATTGGGACATTTTGGTTAATAATTTATTTAAAAATTTGGTTGTTAATAGGAGATAATCAGCACCATTTAATTCATGTAGCTGAACCCAAATAGTAGGATCAGCTGCTACATCTTGTTGCTCCGAAAAGATATGCATGTCCCCATATAAGCCAACATTAAAAAGATGGTTCTGCTCACACAAATATAGACAAGTGATGAACTAATTGAGCTTCGTTTTATTAAAACCAAACCTTCAATTCCCTTGCTTATTATGTGAGAACCATCAATTATCAAGCACGCGGAAAACAACAACCTTGTTTAACAATTACATATACAGGAGTATATGAAATGTTTTTAAATATATTTTTAAAAGTATTTTTAGGAATATGAATTGGAATAACAGGATAAAATGACAAAAAGACTTTCAATCAAACATAAGTAAATATTGGCATCAGTTTAAACCATAAAAACCAAAAAACTTAGCTCACTCTCTTGAGCTGTGTATTAATTCTATCGCTCCATTAGATTAAGAAATGAGAAAGCAAGAAGCTTTGTACGTTAAGTGGCCAAGCCTAGCAAATTTATATAGCCGCAATTAAACTATATATTATCCATGGAAAGTGAACATATGATGATGACTAGTAAAGAATTACTCCATTCCAGATCATAGATATAACCAAAATATTAAAAGGTTTTGTGGATTAATTTCCACCAAAATTACTGTGACAAAAGAAATCTGGAATGCAGAAATGATTGTACTTCAGAGCAAGGCTATTCAACCTGGGTATTCCAAACAGACACGAGACTCACCTGATAAGTGAAAGTATCACAACTGTGAGTGTTAATTGAACAGCTGAACTCCCTCCGTTCATTAGTAATGAGATTGACCATGTGAAGAACGCACTTTGGGTCACCCTCCACCTCGATGTCTTTGAGGTCACGGCAGACTACTTCATTCCTCCAAAAACATTAGGGGAGTAAAGCATCTGAAATTGGTCCAATCCTATATTTCTGAGTACAAGTCAAACTATTCCCAGATCCACTAGCAACCTCCTCTAACAAACATACACAGATGAAATAAGACCCAGGGCCCTCTTCAATCAGACGGTGATACTCAAATTTGTTCTCATATACACCAAACCCAATTGGAGTAATAACATGTTCAATTGGTATTGGTGTTACTGTAAACACTTCCGCTGCTATGTCGAACGAAATTAGTATATGTGAAAAAAAAAAGGAGGCCGGTATCCAAGCCAAAAAAATTTTCCATCAGCATTGAAACCATGAATTGGAACTATCCTATCATCTAAAGCCTCAAATTCCAGTTCCTTCCATGAACCCGCGCTTAATGAAAACATTTGCACTCCATCATGCTTGACTAATTCATAGAATTGATCTTCCTTCTTTTTACGCAACTCTTGATTATAAAATCTCAATATTTTTTAATCACTGACGGCGCTACAGGATACAAATCCTAACCTGCAAGAGCGCTTATAGTCATTCAGTGTGTTGGGCACTTCTCTGACCTCTCTAATCACTGGGTTCCACAGCCAAAGCGAACAATGAGACATGCCTCCATCATCACTGACTTGGACACAAAGCAGACCATTGCAGGAACCAATGATTCTCCAATAACGTCTGAAGGAATCGATCGAGGGAATGCTCAGAACTTCAACGTCATCCAACTTATGATTAACCAAACGTAAGGAACAACGCATACGCTCCGAATCGAATTCATGGAGGAGAAGAAAAGGGTTTTTGTGATCAGGGTGGTGGAGGTATTCAGCGATGAAAGATGGCGTTTTGAAGAGATTCTTCCATTCCTTACAGACAGATTGAAATCGAACGATGGACTTCACAGGAAGCCTTTTGAGAATGCAGATGATAATCTCGAATGGCAGAAAGGGGTTGACGCCTTCGCCGGCCATCCGCACTCATGGGAAAAGAAGGGGGCGGGAGTGTTAAAAAAATCTGGAAGGAGGTACAGGAGGGTTCATCGTCTCGTCTTGCTCCAGCTCCTCTTGTACCTGCTCGTCTTGGCCGTCCGGTCTGTGTGCGTTTCTTTGTTCGAAAGTCCGAGTTGAATCAAATACAGAGCAGTCGAGGAGGGAAGCTAACGGCAAAGAGAGAGTGAGAATATATTTAAAATACATGTTATTCAATTTTTCTGTAGAAAAAACGAGGGAAAAAAGTTAAAAAATTATTAAATGCTAAATAAAGAATTTCAATAAAAAGGTGTTGTTATTTACAAATTCAATATTGTCAACATCTAATAAAGCGTTGATACTAAACCTAATTTAAGATTTAGTAATTTATAACTTCTTTTTTTTTTTTTATCATTTTCCTTTCTCTCTGCCATCTTAAAATATGTTTTTTTGACGAGCCCATCATCTTGAAATATTTGGCTATACATGTTACTGCAGTTTAAAAATGGTTAATATAATATTTGGTCTCTTAAGTTTATCTTCATTTTAGTTTTAGTCCCTCAAGTTTCAAACTATAAGTTTCAGTCTTTCAAAAGACAAAATAGTCAAAGTTTTTTATTAGATTATAAAGACCAATATTTTAAAGGGAAAATAACATAAAAAGAAACCTGAAATCCTTATATGCCAAAAGAGGAAGCTAAGCATATCATATTATAAATTAGGAAGTTTTGCCTAATGTGGGATTTTGGAAATGTTGTTTAATTACCTATAAGCCCTTCTATGACCCAAATAATACACATTTATGGAAGAGAGAAGAAAAGCATGGCGGGAGGTGGGGAAAAAAGTTGAAAGGGAGCATGAACGTGGGAAGCAAGTGATGAACGAAAGAAGCAAGTGGAGGTTAGTATTCAGTGACCATATTCTTCTTCTCCTTCTTTTCTCTAAGAAAAAATAAAAAAGAAATAGGATTGAAATCTATTTTTATTGACCAATTAGAATTGCCTCCCAAGATCTATAATTGTCTCAAAAGGTCCAATATACATAAATTATTGGAGCTATCTCTTTTATGCACTTGTTTTTTTTTTCTTCTTTCTGTTGGATGGGAATGTCATCGAACTGAGATTGGTTTTGAGATGGCAAGGGTGGCAAAGCAAAGAAATGTTGTGGGTATAAAAGGCTGTAGGGAAGGACGGTAATTAGAGAGTGAATGAATGGGGAAGCAAAAACATTGAGGGAAAGGAGTTTAATGGTGTGACAAATGGGTCAGAGTGATTAGTGTTAGAGAATAGGACAATGTTGAAGGGGAATTCGAATAATGGAGTGGCTTTATTAGGAGAAAATGAAGTATGAGTGTGGATAGCAAAGAAACAAGTGTTTTGTTGCAAATTATTAGCATGAATGTGTTAGATCCTACTATGGTCGTGCAAGCTGATGATGATGGTATTTTTTGGTGAAATTGAAGTGATGAAATAAATGTGGTAGTTAAGTCATATAATCATTATTGTTCTGTTATTTTCATGTGGGTGGGAAACTTGTGACAAATGGTGAAGGTAAAGTGAGATAAAATGGAGGTAGTGTGAGGTTAAGATGGGCTTACACTTGAAGAATTGAAGCTAATAATATATGAGTGGATTGGTGGTGATAGAAGAAATTGTAACATTAAGTACACAGTGGCCTTTGATGAGAAGACATTAATTGAACTTCATGACAATGCTGAAATGTATAATCTTTTTCAATACAATGAGAATAGCGGTTATGTGTATGTGAGAGAAAAAGGCCAGGGGGATCCCCCAACCAAGGAACAATACAGAAACATAAGTGCAAGTTCGTCATAAGTATTTGTTGTCATTTATGAATCATCTTGTCATTCGTGTTAACCACTCTTGTCGTTGTGAATGCAGAATGGAGAGATTCATGGGTCTGTCATAGCAAATGGAATTGGATGCAACTCCCATTAGTTTTGGTTATGATTATGCCTAGCTCAATGAAGAAAATATTGGTAAATGTGACAATGATGGAAGAAGTGGGTCATCTAATGTGGACACATCTATCGAAGTTGAAGATATTGATGGTGGAGGGACACTAGATAGTGAGATGAGCAGTGTGAAATGAAAGAAACTTTTTAGAGGGGTGGGTTAATGTTTTCCAAATTCATATGCATTTCAAGTGTCTATATACAAGTTTGCATTTGCACATAAGTTTGTGCACAAATATGGGAGGAATAGCAAGGAATTCATGTTGGTGGAGTGACATCAATATTTGGTGGCCAAAGCATGCCTTTTGTAGTATTCTCCAACTTGAACTATATAGTAAGAGTAGCATACAAAATGTAGCAAGAATAGAATACCTCCATGATATCATGATCATTCCATGGAACATTGTTATGCCTAGACACTCACCTTCTCCACTACAAAGAAAGCAACAAAAAATATAGGCATCAAAAAGCAAATTTTCATGCTACTGTAAGAGAGTAAATTACGTGCATAGCCAAATAGGACCAAAAACATGGTATATTAAACGAAAACTAAATGGAAAAGAAACCATATATTTTCTTTTACCCTTTAAATCCAAACATCTAGGAAAGTTATCTAGACATGAAATATAGGGAAACAAATACCTGCCTCAACAATTCATTCCTATTATTTACTTAATTACTGTGCAGTTCTACTATACCAATTTCCTCAGTTGTGATAACAATTCACATCTTTTTTTTCCTTTCATGATCAATAACAAGCTATATCTAAGATTTCCAAAACTCAAAGCTTCCTAAAAGGCCCTCAAAATATATAGTTTCCAATGTTATACAATCAAAGCAAGACTTGTGATCTTAAGTCACATTAAATCATTACTTAATGATTTAAATATTTAATATAATAAACCATTATCATTGGTGTTATATATCACTAGAAACCTGTAAACCACCATCGTTGGTGTTGTGAATGTATTTTCAATAACTATAAGAAACATATCATATCAAAAATAAGTGCAAAAACATTTGAAAGAAAAACCTTGCCTAAACATTGTCACGCAATACAAATGAGCAATTGTCTTCTCGGAAAGAAAAGTATCATTATATTCATCATCTTCCATTCTACAAAAACTAAAGTGGAAAGAAAACAGTAAAGATATGATTAATATTCTAGGGTAAACCAAAATGTGACCCTATTGTTGCTTTATATATCAAAACCTAATGTGAGTAATAGAATATTGCAATTAGGACCCTACATGTGTACAACAAATTAAATACAATAACATATGAATAAATACAAATAAGCTATTTGCTCTAACATTCCTCCTCAAACAAGAGGGTATCCTACTTAGCTTGAGTTTGTCTTTATGATGAAAGAAATGAGTATGTGTTAGAGCCTTGATTAAGCAATCTGCAACTTGATGAGCGAAAGGGACATGGTGTGCATTAATGAAACCAGAAGAAATCATATCATGTATGAAATGAAGATCTATTTCGATATGTTTACTGCAAGCATGTTGAATAGGATTGGCAGCTAGTACTTTAGCAGTAAGATTGCTACACTAGGTCATTGCAGGTTTCCTTAAGAACAAGCTTAATTCAAACGGCAGACAATGTATCCATTTCAATTCAGCAGCACCATCAGCTAAGGCTCAATATTCTGATTCTGTACTAGACCAAGACACTACACGTTGCTTACTTGATGCTGATGAGACTAAGGTATTACCAAATAGACACAGATAGCTGCCATTAATTTTCAATCATCTACATCTGTGGCCCAATCAGCATCAGTAAAGGTTGTCAACTAACTAAACTAAAAGGTTAAATATGTAGTCCATAATGATAAGTCCCTTTGAGATATTTAAGGTTTCTCTTAACACCTTGACAGTGAACATTTGTTAGACTAGATAAAAATTGGCTCAATTTATTGACTGAATAAGCCATGTCTAATGAAGTGAGCCAATAGCTTTATGATATTGTGATAAATCTAACATCAACTTTCCATCATTCATGGAAAAAGATCGACCATTACTATTAGTGTTAGTACAGGGACACAATCCAACATATTAAACTTCTTCAATATATCCAGAGTATATTTTCCTTGATTTAGATACAAACCAGAGGAATCACAGTGAATTTTAATACCAAGAAAGTAGTAGAGTGGACCAAGATCTTTTAGAGAGAATAGGGAATTCAATTTCGCAACAAAATTCTCCGGGTAATGATAAAGTCCAATTTTTATAAATTTTATCCCACATTAATTTAGGATTTAAATGATAATTTTGAGCTTAAATGAACTTTTTATGCATTATTGGATTAATTGGTTGATTTTTGGATTTTGCATGATTTTGAATTAAAAATATAAATATTTTGTGATTTCCTATTTTTTTACTTGGAATTAATTTTTTCTATTTCTTTGGAAACAAATCTCATATTTTTAGAAGGATTACTTTTACAAAGTTTTGCAATCTCTTGCCTAATTTTTGTACATACTTAATATCTAATTTTTTATTATATTTGGATATAATCTACATTAATGGATGCACTTAAATTCTTGTAGGTCAAGAAAGAGTACATAGAAAATCCAATGGTGTAAGATTGTTTCTTAAAATCTAAGCACAATTCAATGGCTAATATCAAGTAGGTCAATTAAGTACTAATGGGCTTGAGTTTTGTATCCAAGAAAATTATCCTTTTCCCTACCAAAATAATCCTCTAGCCTACGCCATATCTTCCCTAATCCATATTCACGATTTGCACCATATTTCATTCGGCCCATATATTCCCTTTATTCATGTCACGTAGCGACCAGGGGGGTTGAAACAATTATTTCCCTCTCACACTCACCTTTTCCCCTGCGCAAGGATCCACTTTATCTCCACGGAATAATCATCCTTTTCTCTTCTTTACTCCTCATGGCTGTGGCATCCAATGCTTTTGGAGGGAAGATAATTTTCATGGAGGCTTAAGCTTGTTAGGGAGGCAACTTGAGAGGAGCATAGAGGAGACTCGAGCCTTGGGCTAGCAGTTGAAG